GTTAAATACAAGACATGCGTAGATAAATACACAATTCATTTACTATCAGGAAAATTAGATTTTTGTGAAGATCAGCGGGGATTGCATTAAACAATTTAAGCAAATTGAAAAGCCCATTGTCTAGATAAGAATGATATTCAAATGAGATTAAAGATAGACTGAACAAACACCGCAATTATCACAGAATCTTAAACTTTATCACAGATAATGGAAAGGAACAGCAGATGTTCACATGATTAGAGAGGCAGTGGAGAAGTCTTCTTCTACAACCTCAATAAAAGTAAACTGTGCATGCTCTTGAAGTGTTCCAGCAACAGCTCCAGGTTGTTCTTCAGCTGTTGCATCGGTAATTTCCACTGATCTTACAATATCTTTGTTTTCATCTGGATTTTGTATGTTTCCTTTGTGCAATCTCCTCCAAATAGTTGTTTTAGGAACCTAAAGAGACATGAAAATTATAGAGTTTTGCTTCATAATTAATTACCAAGTTCCAACAGTTAACTGCCATTTGATATTGTCAACAAAATGCATTAAGTTTGACATCATTCCAAGTTCAAAATGAGTAAAATTTGAATGAGTACCTGATAAGTAATTGATGCCTCTGCCTGAGACATTCTTCCTTCTTTGCATGCAGCCACTGCAGCCTTGAGCTGAGTTTGCTTCATAAGTTGAGTTTGTGGGGCTCTTTTCTTAGAGGGAGGAGGCGGATATGGCAATTTTCCTGCTTCTATTAATCGTACTTTCTCACGGAATAGAGTTGTCTTGGGGATCTGAAATAAAAAAAAGAGATCTGGACAGTTAATTTTTTGAAAAAGGTCAACAATAAAGCAACAGATGGATAGAGATAGAAAATTACCTGGAATTGGGCTGAAACTCTAGAAAGGTTTTGACCATCCTGTAATGCCTGAACAGCTGCTTGCCAGTGTGCAGGACCGTAACTTTGACGTCTGGATTGGGCACGGTTAGAAAATGCGCCAGCAGCTTTCACTCTTCGCCATAAGACTGTTTTAGGAATTTGATACATATCTGCTGCTTGCTGAAGGCTTGCTCCTCCTATGAATAACACGCAATTATACCAGATAGCTCAGAAGGGTAAAATACTCAATGTCTTTTTGTACCCACCATTAACTGCTTGGACAGCTGCATTCACATTTTCACCTGAATGTTCTTGCCTTGTTACAGTTATGGGAATACCTTCAGATTTAGCTCTAACATATAAGGTTGATCTTGGTATATTATGAGCTAAGGCAGTATCTCCTAAAAGTTGCCCACATCTTAAATCCTTTAAAGCAGCAGCAAGCTGTTCTTCACTTTTCATGATCAAAACAGAAGACAAAACATTAGTAGCAATACGGTTTGATATACCAATTGGCATTTTTTTATGTCAAGTCTGTGGCATGCCAACCTATATTCCTTTCTGCAGCTTTCCCGACGTTTTCTTTTTCTACGGTCCTGTTCTGGGATAATAGCTTCAGGGATGGTAGCCTCACTTTCATAATTCTCATTCCCAGTAAAGTTTTCATCATGGGAATCGGGCATTGAGTCAGCCAGCCCTTGATCCTCAGTATGATTTTTTGGTGTAATATTGCAATCACTGTTGCTCTGCTCCTGTATCAATAAATTTGAGAATTTAAAGACAAACGTAAGAAATTACTGGTGGAACATGAAACACAATTAAACACTAGCTAGTTGTGCTAAGCATACCTCGTGAGATTCAGCATTCTCATTTTCTATGATATTTGCTGTCAGAGCGTTAGCCTCAGAACTGTGTGGAGCAACTTCGTCCTCATTAGAAGTAATATCTTGCTGTGGTATCACCAGTTCCTCACAAGGTTCACACGACTCATCAGTTACCAATCTTGTACTATCGGGTGGAACTAGGAGAGGCAGTTGATCACTAACCTGAATTGAAAACACAATTTTTTGAAAATCAACACCGTATTATGGGTACTCTACTACCTGCAGTAATCAAGCAAAAAAATTACCTCTGTCAGTCCACGAATTTGTAAAGTTGTGGCAACTTGTAGGACTTCAGTCAACTGTGATGCCTGTACATTCAGTTCACCATGGTAAACAAAATCCAAAATACTACGTAGGATGTTAGATTCTACATCAGTCAAAATCACAATAGGGTGACTATCATCAGAATTTGTGAAGATTTCCTGTAAAAAATATGGAACGGTTAAGATT